GAGGCGTCCCGAGAGTCTGGGGTGGCTGTAGGGAGGAGAAACCCCCTCTTCCCCCTTCCCGCTGCGTTTGCGTGACTGGTTTTCTTAATTAAAATAAGCGAGCCTTGTAAAAAGCCCGAAATAAACCCGTGCTTGCGGAGTGTGCGCTTAATTTCGGGTGGTATTTGGGTTATTTTTTTCTTGGGTTAACTTTATGGTAGAGCAGGTGCAGCGTAATAACTCCCGGAGCTGTAGAGCGAGGCCGGGGTTTGGGCGGGGAGGAGGCCCTCCGCAAGGGGAAGCTTGTGCTTCGGCCCCCTGCTGCGGGGGCTCCTGCGGAGCTGCCTGCTGCGCTGCTTCTCCGGCTCTCTCCTCTGGCAGCACCCTGGTTTGTCCTCACCTGGGCCCAAGACGCTTGTTTATGGAGACCTACCATCGGTGGGTTCCTCCAGTGACTGCTGCGTGGGCAGCTGGCTGTCTCCGGGAAGCACCAGCCTTTGCCCCTTTCAGGAAGGCTCCGAGATTTAATGGTGAAAATGCCGGTATTAACGTCTCTTTTTTTTTTAATTAGGAGTTACGTAGGGTTAGTTACCACACACATTCACCGTTGTGTGTTATTTTTAACTCTCACAGTTAATTTATGGAGAAAATAAAGGATCTGTTATGCTTATAGGTAGCAATTCGATCGTAAATGTGAGTTCAGTGCTAGAGAAGCAGTGCTTGATCATTGAATATTATCATATCTAGGCTGTTCTGGTGGGAGGTGGCACTTAGCATCTATTTTTGGCCTAACTTAGGCTGAGTTGGTAATTAGGATAAGAATTACAAAATGATTCCCAAGTTAGAATTTCTTAAAAGGACTATAAAAATATGTGAGCATTATTACATCCCTCCTCTAGTAATTCTCGTATACATTTTCTAGTTAGTCTGTGTAGTAAAAGCAGCCTTTGCTCTGTTTGCACAGTGCTGAGCCTAGTAAGTTTTGGTATGTGCTTTTGGCTCTTAGTAATGCTAAAAGTCTACAATTCCCAAGGCCTCTCAGGTTTATGATTGCCTAAGTATTTTTTGAGAATGTGAATGACCTTCAGCAGCTTGCAGAATTAAATCCACACCACCCTGCAAAAGAAGGATGACTTTTTTTGGGCACTCTTACTTATTCAGTTAATGAAATAGTCTTGAACTTTTTTGTGATGTAAGACTGCCTGTAGAACAGTGTGACTGAAGTGCTACAATTAGGTTGCTGACAGCTGTGTAATAATTACCAGCGCACAGACTGTTGCCTGCTGTTTTTCTTCCAAACCTAAGGTAGTACTTCTATTTAGGAGGTAACCTGAAGTCTTTACCCTAAAGATGGTTGCAGGGCAACCATCCTTAAATAACATATGGGAGGTTTTACTGCAAATTTTGTGTTTATCTTGGCTCAGGCTGAATATGGATCCGCAAATGCTGGTGCTGTAGGTAATTTGCTACCCATAACATCTCAGTCGTGGGTTCTGCTGTCACTCTTTCTGTGTTGGTGTAGTGTTGGTGGATATAAAGTACCTGAAAGCCCTATTAAGTGAGCTGTGGGGAAGGGTTGCAGTGATAATGGAATTTTATTTGAAGAAACTTGAAAATAAACCCACCTCCAGAGAGCAATGCAACAGACGAAGGACTGCATTGTAGAGCTTGTTTCTGGCTGTATTCGTGGGTGTTTGTGCAGTGCTGGCCAAACCACGACACTGCTGTTGAGTCAAAGACTCGGAGTCCAGGGCCCTGGGAGGGTGCTGCCTCCTCTGCCAGCTCACATACCTGTATTGACTTGAGACGGTTTAGCTCTGCTCTGTGTCTAAGGCAGAAGGACAAGTTGTCTCTCGAGTCTGAATTCTAAAGGCTTTTGTAGTCACTGACTGCTTCACCTGATTTTTGCCACTGTCGGGCTAGAAGTAGGGCACACACCCACAAATAAATACTAGTTTTCTTCAACTCTTTACAGAAATGGCTCAAGAAGAGATGGAAGTTGATCTCCAGCCAGTGGCTGGTTACTCTGTAGAGAACCTCAGGACGCTTCCCACAGAGCCTTCTGGTCACACAGTGCTGTCATCCACTGCTCCAGTGCCCGGTGAAGGA